GGGAACAAGTGAATGTGCACACCTGGCTCCATCTCCACGCTCAGGAAGAGCACGCTCCGGGGAACAGGTGAATGTGCACACCTGGCTCCATCTCCACGCTCAGGAGGAGCACGCTCCGGGGAACAGGTGAATGTGCACACCTGGCTCCATCTCCACGCTCAGGAGGAGCACGCTCCAGGGAACAGGTGACAAGCACACATGACAAATCCGGACAGTGAAGGCACTGTGAAGAAAAGCTTCAGGGCCCACACTGCGGCTCCCGACTGTCATCCCAACACTTCGGGAAGCTGAGGCAGGGGGATTACTTGAGCCTGGGAGTTGGAGGCTGCAGTGAGCTATGATTGCACCACTGCGCTCCAGCCTGGGGTGACAGGGCAAGACCCTGTCTCTAAAAATGTATATATATCCCTGTCTCTTAAAAAAAAAAGTATATACATATATATACTCATACGCTAACTTCAACACCAAGGTTGTGGTTCATAGTATTCATAGCATTAAATACGAGGAAGACTCTTAAGGGTCCAAGCACTCTGCCAGACCCGGACTTTGGAGGAGAAAAAGGGAAAAAAGTAACACAGCCTCCATTGTATCGGAAAAAGTCCAGTCCAGAAAGCTGGAAGATGAAGGGTGTGAATGACTCGATGGAGAGTGAAAACTCTGATGTCCTTTTCCCAAAGAGGCAAGTGAGAAAGAGATGAAGTCTCCACTCCGGGGCCCTTCTCAGGGTCCTTTGTTTTAACTCTCCCTTATTCAGAGGACAAGAGGGCAGGGGTCCCTCCCTGTGGTGATGGGCACAGCCAAGCACATGGCACCCAACGCCGGACAGATGAAATTGGCAACTGCTAATCCATCACCTGCACTCATGGCCAGGGGCGGACACTGCACTTCACACAGGGCCCTGCAGGCGGCAGGAGGCAGACTTTGTGGTAGCAAGAGGGCGAGGGGCCCCTGGTGCCGCGGAGGAGGTGATGGGCTACTTGAGTGATTCAGGGGCTGCCAGGAAACCGGAATCCAAGCTCAGGGATTGCGGCAGGAACCACTCCTGTGCCCTTGGTAAGGAGGGATGTTTGGCCACAGGACTTACCTGCAGGAGCAGAGCTGGAGGGGAGCTTGTGGTCAGGAGGTCTGAAGCCCTCCTGGCTCGCCCCAGAGGCAGCACGTGAGGTTGGACCCCCAGTTCAAGACTGAGGCTTTGCTCCTCTTCATCCTCAACACCCGCACGGGCAGTGCCCCTGCCAGGTGACTCTTCCCACCCCTCTGGAGGTTTTGTCCTCAGCTCTTTGGTTCCAGGGTAACACATCTGGTCCCAATCTCTACCCTGAACTCCAGCTGCCCTCCCCATTTCTAAAACGGACTCAGCCCCACAGCGCACCTGCGATTCGGCTTACAAGACCGCCGCGCTCAGGCCCCACACACCCCTTCCCCTCAACCTTTGACCTGCTCATAATCCTGTGAAACATTCCAGAACCCAGGGCAGGTCCTCACTCCACTGTGACCCTGGGTCAGCCCCCGTTAGGGCTGGAGGGGCCAGGACACGCTGGATCAGGTGGGTCTTAGATGAGATAAGAAGGGTCCCGAGGTGCTGGTCGTTGGTGCAGGGCTGGTCAAAACCACCCCATAGCACTATTTCATAAAAAGGAGATGAAGCCCGGGTGCAGTGGCTCACACCTGTAATCCCAGCACTTTGGGAGGCCAAGACAGGTGGACCATCTGAGGTCAGGAATTTGAGGCCAACATGGCAAAATCCCATCTCTACTAAAAATACAGAAAACATAAGCCAGACGTGGTGGCTCATGTCTATAATGCCAGCTACTCGGGAGGCTGAGGCAGAAGAATCGCTTGAAGCTGGGAGGTGGAGGTTGCAGTGAGCCAAGATTGCGCCAGTGCACTCCAACCTGGGTGACAGAGTGAGATTCCATCTCAATAAATAAATAAATAATAAAAAGGAGATGCACACTTACTTCCTCCCCAGCTTGCAATGCGCAGTGTGGGGGAGCGGGGGCAAACAGATGGCAAACGTGACGGTGTGGGGGAGGGTGCTGTGGTGAGTGGACAGATATTTCCCAGGGGACAGGCCTGCTTTGTGTCTTGTGGGGTGTGTGGGGCACAGGGACAAGGGCTTCCCAGGCCAAGGGCTGTGCAGGAACCCAACATGCCCGGTGCGGGAGGGCTGAGGACCCAGCACTGCCCACTCGGAAGGGCCCAGGCAACAGGAGCCCTGCAAAACTCTGGAAGCAGGACTCAGCCTAGACAAAGCCGCCGATAGCCTCGCACAAAGTGGACCAGGTGGGGACAGCCGGTTTCCCCCCACGCTCTTGACGTGGGATCTGGACTCGGGCCTTGCTTCTGTGCGTGGAATTCCTGTCTTTCTCCCAATCGCAGGCATCAGTGAAGCCTTTTGTATTTACATAGCAAACCTCTCTGGATCAGGGGACAGATGATAACAGAGGGAGAGGTGGAAACCAGAATTAAGCCGCAGCCTTTAAGGCACTTGGCTCAGGGCATCAGTTGGTGGGTGGGACACCTTTGCGTCGATGCCCAGTGTGGGGACTGAGCTCTTCCTGTGGACAGTTCTTGCCCTTCTAACTGGATGTTAACCTCTCGAGGCATAGTCCTTGGCTCTAGATTCATTTAGCCCATCTTTTTGTTTTGTTTTTTGAAAGAGACAAAGTCTTGCTCTGTCGCCCAGGCTGGAGTAGAGTGGCGCGACCCTAGCTCACTGCAGCATCGACGTCCTGGGCTCAAGCAATCCTCCCACCTCCGCCTCCCAAGTAGCTGTGTCCTGCCTTTTGACTCGGACACAAAACCGTGCATATAAGCATTTGTGTATTTTATTGAATTTCCATTTGTACCTCCCTCAGTGAGGGATCTCAGTACATGTTAGCTCACTGCTTACTACAGAACACGGGGCTGTGCGGTCCCCCAAGTCGTCTTCAATCTTCCTGTTTAGCATCAGAATTTCCTCCATTCCTGTATGCTGAGGAGCTATTGGGTGTTTAAACCCTGTGTGGTGGTGTGTGGGCATTTAAGTGACTGAAGACAGAACCTAGTAGTTCTTGATCACACCCAGAGTTTTACAAATTAAGTCCGGGAAACGGAAAACCAGGCTAAACATGGGAGAATGAATAAATGAGAGAAAATGAGCTATTCATTAATCTGCTTAGAGAATTCAAATCAGCGACCACAAAGATGGATTTCTGGCCGGGCGCGGTGGCTCACGCCTGTAATCCCAGCACCTTGGGAGCCTGAGACAGGCCGATCACCTGAGGTCAGGAGTTTGAGACCAGCCTGGGCAACATAGTGAAACCCCATCTCTACTAAAAATAACAAAAATTAGCCAGGCGTGCTGTTGGGTGCCTGTAATCCCAGCTACTTGGGAGGTTGAGGCAGGAAAATTGCTTGAACCCAGCAGACAGAGGCTGCAGTGAGCCAAGACTGCGCCACTGCACTCCAGCCTGGGTGACAGAGCAAGACTCTGCCTCAAAAAGAAAGAAAAGGTGGATTTCCTCATCCTGTTTGGTAATACAGGGAACGCAAGTAATTCTCTTAACGAGCCCACGTTGGCATGTTAGCGTTCCTCAGGCTCCTGACAAACGCAGGCGTGTCTTTCTTGTCGCAGCTCCAGTGGCTGTTGGATAATTATGAAACTGCGGAAGGGGTGAGTCTCCCCAGAAGTTCTCTTTACAACCACTACCTTCGGCACTGCCAGGAGCACAAGCTGGACCCGGTGAACGCCGCCTCCTTCGGGAAACTGATCCGTTCTGTGTTTATGGGGCTGAGGACACGGCGGCTGGGCACCAGGTGGGTAGACGACCCCCAGCCCACCTCTCCTTCCTCTTCCTTTCCCAAGAAATGGAGCTTTCGGGAAAATGCTAGGCTTCCGCCTCCTGTCCAGGTGGCCTGATTTGCAGCCACCTCTGGAGTGCTTGCGGTTACTTTCAATTGGCGGCAGCCTTGGCTGTGGCTGGGCGTAGCCCGCGGCGTTGGCTTTAGAAGCCGGTGATGGGACATGGAGGTCACTCTGGTTTTCTCTCTCCTTTTGAAATTTCCCAAACAATACATTTGTTTGTTTGTTTAGAGCAGCCTCTGGGCCAGGTGTGGTGGTGCACGCCTGAAATCCCAACAGTTTGGGAGGCCGAGGCAAGAGGATCACTTGAGACTAGGAGTTCAAGACCAGCCTGGGCAACATAGTAAGACCTCATCTCTACAAAAAAATTAAAAATTAGCCAGGCATAGTGGTGCACACCTATTTGCACACCTGTAATTTCACTTATTTGGGAAGCTGAGAGGGGAGAAGCACTTGAGCCCAGGAGGTTGAGGCTGCCGTGAGCCACAATTGCACCATTGCACTCCAACCTGGGCAAAAGAGCAAGACCCTGTGTCAAACAAACAGACAGACAAATAAAATGTAGCCTCTGGTTTATCC